AAAACCCCAAAAAATCAGAATAAAAACCCAAAAAAAATCAGAATAAAACCCAAAAAAATCAGGATAAAACCCCAAAAAATCAGAATAAAACCCCAAAAAAAATCAGGATAAAACCCCAGAAATCCTCTGGGCACCCCAAGACCCCCCAACATCCCTGAACCCCCTTTTTTTTTTGCCCCCCCCCAGCAGCTGAAGGAGTCTGGGGGGGCCCCGTCCCCCACCCGGGATGAGAACGAGACCCTCAAGGCCAAGGTGGAGTCGCTGAAGGAGGAGCTGGAGCTCAGCAAGAAAGGTGAGGGGGGAAAATTGGGGAATTTTGGGAATTTGGAGGGGAATTTTGGGGATTTGGGGGAATTTTGGGGATTTGGAGGGGAATTTTGGGAATTTGGGGGGGTTCAAGAGGGATTTATGGGAGTTAAAGAGGAATTTTGGGGGAATTTGGGGGGAAATATTGGGAATTTTGGGGGAATTTTGGGAATTTGGGGGGGTTTAAAGACAGGTTTTGGGGAATTTGGGGGGGTTAAAGAGGGATTTTGGGGGGAATTTGGGGGAGATTTTGGGAATTTTAGGGGTGTCAGCATGGTTTTGAGAGAATTCAGGGGGATTTTAGAGATTTTGGGGGTGTCAGGGTGGATTTTGGGGGTTCAGGGTGGATTTTGGGGTATCAGGGTGGGTTTGGGGGTGTTTGGGGTGGATTTTGGGGGGTTCAGGGTGGATTTTGGGGGTTCAGGGTAGATTTTGGGGTTGTCTGGGGTGGATTTTGGGGTTCAGGGTGGATTTTTGGGGTTCAGGGTGGGTTTGGGGGTGTCAGGGTGGGTTTTGGGGTAGATTTTGGGGATCAGGGGGGATTTTGGGGTGACCCCGAGTCCCCCCAGCCCTGGAGAAGGCGGAGAGCGAGGCCATGAGGGGTTTGGGGGGTTCAGGCTGGATTTTGGGGTGTCAAGGTGGATTTTGGGGGTTCAGGCTGGATTTTGGGGTGTCTGGGGTGGATTTTGGGGTGACCCCGAGCCCCCCCAGCCCTGGAGAAGGCGGAGAGCGAGGTGCAGGCCATGCGGCGCCAGGCCCAGGGACTGACCCGCGAGTACGACCGGCTGCTGGAGGAGCACGCGCGGCTGCAGGTACCCCCGAAAACAGCCCCAAAACACCCCCAAAACAGCCCGAAAACACCCCCAAAAATACCCCAAAAACAGCCCAAAAATACCCCAAAAACAGCTCAAAAATACCCCAAAACCATCCCCCAAAACAGCCCAAAAATACCCCCAAAACTGCGCAAAAATAACCCCAAAAACTGCCCAAAAATAACCCCAAAACCAGCCCAAAACCACCCCCAAAAACAACCCAAAAACTGCCAAAAAATACCCCAAAAACAGCCCAAAAATTGTCCAAAAATACCCCAAAACCAGCCCAAAAATACCCCAAAACCAGCCCCAAAAAACAGCCCGAAAACACCCCCAAAAA